CTCATGCAGTACAGAAGAACTTGATTTTTGCACAAAAAGATTTGTAAAGAGGAGTCAAGAACTTAGTGGATTTTCTGTTTATAACACATCTTTTCTGAATCACTTCCTGCTCAGGTATCATACCAAAGTACAAATATGGAGAAAGATGTTGCACTGTAAACCTTTGAAATGGCTGTTTTTCAAAATCTCCTTTCATTGGAAGGATTTTTGTTTGATTTGCTTTGAAGGGAAATGCTTATAGTGGTAAACAATTTTTTTTAAACTGTAAATGTTGATATACTGGGTTCAGTTTCAAAAGAGTTGTGTTTAGAGTTGAACTAGATAGGAGCAATGACAGCAGCAGCAGATCTGAATGCTTCTGAGCCCAAGTTAGCCCCCAAAATATGTGGGGTTCTGGTTGGAGGAGCAAGGGGGGCATGCAGGTGGAGATTGAAAGTGGCTTAGCTACTTACGTGGGGTAGCTTCTAGTCAGGACTCAGCTGGTAGAAGTAAGCTTGGCTGAGAATACAGTGCTAGGTGGCAGCCCCAGGCTAGGGAAGGGTCTTGTCCATGGCCTTTGCAGTAGCTTCATATTTGTTACTTGGATCCCATGCTGCTGGAGATAGTTTAGCCTTTGGTTTCTGCAGCAAAACTAGGGAAGAATCCCTTGGTACCTAGGGATACTGGAGAAATATGCAATGCAACCAAGTGAGTTCAGATACTTATACTGTAATTATACAGCAAACTGGCTTTCTCAGACATGCAGAATCTGTGGACTTGTAGGACAGTCTTTTACTTTTGGGAACAATTGTGATAGTCATTGTGTTAGCTCATTCCTTCACATGAACTAACATGCCTTGCAGCATTTGGGCAAATGTATGTTAATGCTCATGTGAATTAGCACTAATAAAATGGCCTTCTGATTTTACAAATATCCAGTACTGTCATAGAGTGGAAGATGGAATACAAGACAATGCAAGAAACATTGTGTGGAATTAACAAAATCTGAATATCCCTAGTGGTGCCTTAGTGGCAAACACCCTGATCCAGGGCCACACATGAAAAGAAACCCGGTGCGCCATATGCAATTCCCTATTTCAAGCCTAGAGCCAAAACTGCACTGCGAAATGCAGGGGCCTTCTCTTTGGGAGGAAAGGTTGGGAGGGAAGTTAGATTCAGTTTCCTTCTGTTCATCTTTAGTTGCCAAACAGCTGGTTGGCAGGATTCCAGTTTCTTTTACATGGCTATGTGCATGCAGCCTTCTGGGATGTGCTCTGCATGCTCTGCTGGATCAGATAATTTAAATATCTGACAAAGGACCTTGCCTATAAAACTCTTGCTGGTCTTTTCCTGCCACCTGATTCGCACCTCGTGGATCTAGCTGCATTTCTGGGTGAATACATCAGTGTGTGTGTGTGTGTGTGTGTTCTAGAGTAACAGAAATTGCTGTCTTAATGTTAAATCTGAGAAGCTAACAAGTTATGGTTGCTGACAAAATACCATTTTATACATGAGCTGAAGGGCACCTTAGAGATGGCTGCTGTGAAGTAACCCAATGTAGAGTACAGCTTTGATGCCCTTGTGCCATAAAATGTTCTCTTCATCTTGCTGACAAGTTAATAAACATGTTAATTTGAAATGTGACACAAGAGCCAATATAATTTCTCCCACAGATACAGATGAATTCATGTGTTGTTTTATTCCTTATTAAAACAAAAAGGTGAGGCTATCAGGCTATAATCTAATCTGCAGGAATTCTGATGCAGCATTTCTGTGTGGTTTTCTCTGTTTCCCAGCATTTAATTGTAGAAGTCATATATTTGTCTGAAATAACTATAAAGTTGGTACCTCACAGTCTGCATATGGCTATTTACAGTATATTTCATGTCATTACCATATAAGGTCAGTGGAAAACTTAGCCAAGGGAAAAAACCCAGGAAGTTAATCAGTGGGTAAAATTGTAGGAGAAATAATTGTAAGTTTCTCTGACTATAGTATAGCTGTGTACATAAGCTAAGCATTGGCTTGATTTCAGGAATCAAGCTGGGTGATACATGGGAACAAATTCTCTTGTGATCCCATGTAAGTTTGGGAAAGGTCAACGAGAAAAATAATATCATTGAATTTATTATATTGAGGGTCTTTCCAGATTAACGAAGACAATGTTACAGTTGTTTTTAGCTTTTGGATTATGACGGAAATACCTTTCCTTAAAGATATTTTTCTTTTTCAGAAGTTGTAGGGGTGGTTTAGATATAGTAGGATGCAATTGTGACAAACTGTAGACTGATGCACTTCCCTGTCTGCTGTTATCTTCTTTTGTATGGAAGAGGTTAAACATTTGCTTTTACTTTTAAACTACAGTAATCTGATAGAAACAAACTCTAGTAACCCAGATTAGTTTTAATTCTAGTTAGTGAATAAATGGGACCATAAACGTTGGTTTCATCCTGCCTTCTTTAACTAATAAGGTTTCCCAAAGCTTGGAAACAATGGAGAATCTTGGTTTAAAATAAAAAGTAGAAGTATTTTATTTCTTTTTATATGCCAAAAGGAGGGAAGCAATGAAGGGAGCACTGAGTTTTGCTGCACCTTTTTTATGTAGTATGGGTGTCCATACAGACCATGTAATCACAGTTTGGTATAAGCTTAAATTTTGAGTCCAAACCATGATTTGTGTTCTAGGCATATTGGTGGGCTGTTATATTCATTTCTTCTAGACAAGTAACACTTTGATGTTTCAAAAGTTCTCCACAAAGCCAACTTAAGTTTTACCCCTGAAACCTGTTTTAGGTAAAACATACTTACAGCACACTCTAAAGGTCTAGTATATGAAGAACACCTATGGGAAAGCCACTTCTATATGCTTTGAAAGGATTTTGGCTTTATGGGCACATAGTGTGGAAAGATAAATTAGAAAGAAACCATTTATCCATTCATCTGTGATACCAAATAGAAGTCTTGTCCCTCTACTTTACCCAGTTTGTCTTATTCTTTTGATGCTTCTGCTTTCCCTACTACCAGATAACAGCCTTTTCATATTTATACATACATAACTATGATGAATGTATGGATTGTGCCTAGATGGGTAGAGTCTTCAGCTATCTGGATCTAATTCTGGAACCTGGAAAGGTTTTTAATTTTTTTTTAAACAAGATATCAGCTCTCATAGCTGAGACTTGATTCCCATCCATCTCTCCCCAATTATAAGAAATGATTCTATTTATGCAAAGCAAGAAAGTATGCAGTCTGAATGTGGACAATTTCTAGCATCTAGAATTAGCACCACAGTTGGCTTCTTCTTACCACTTAACACCTTTTCCCAAAGTTGATGCCCAGATGTTTTGGACTTCAGCTGGAATACCTGGAATACTTGGCCAGTGGTCTGGAATACTTGGAGTCATAATCCAAACATTTAGAGGGCACTTATAAATATGCAAACTGATGCTGATCCAGGAATGATTAATGCTAATGCTAATAAAGTGATGAAAGAAGAGAGATGGCATTTATCCAAGCACTGAATGCACAGGGAGTGCCATTCCTGGAAGGGGAGAGAATACAAAAAGTCTGTGTAGAAAGAATGAAATAGCACTGTTCTGAATAGGAACAGGAAAAAATTGCAAACTTGTTGTGGGGTACAGACTGGAACACCCAGATTATTACATGGGTTGATAGCAAAACATGCTCAGGTTTTTGTGCACTGATTATATGTGCCATATGTATTGGTGTGTGGTGGTTTGAATTTTTAAGTATGCACTTAAAAATACTTTAAGTCAGTTCCGGAACATAAATCATGATGCTGACAGAATGATTCCTGCAAAGAATTAAATGGGTTTCTTCCCATTCTTCCCAACCCCCTACAACCGCTCCCTTGCTTCAAATTCCTTGATGATTTGTAATGACAAGCAGGCAAAGTTTGCCCAGAGTGGCTTGTTCCATCAGGGAAACTCCATATTTAGGCGTCAGGGTGCTATAATAATCTTCTTCCCCTTCTGTTTCTTTGTCCTTTTTTGTTGCAGGGAAGTAGTACTGCTTCCCCCTTTGGTATTTGCCTGTGTTTGAACATCATCTCTGTTGCCATGGTACATTCCTATTTGGACTGTTTGTTCTGAAGTGGATGGAATAATGATTATTTTGTATGCACATCTGATGGTGGCTTATGGAACTTTTTCCTTTTCTCATTCACATTCGGCCTTTTGAACAACCACAAATGCCTGCACTGTAATGCTAGCATTATTCAAGTGCTGTTTAGTCTGTTATCAATAGAGGGCACTCCTATACAAAAATACACACATGCAATTTTTATCTTCTGTATTCACTTGCTCCATAATTATACCTTAGAGGTATGTTCATATGATCAAAACTCACAAACTTGAAATATCAAAATGTATGTATAATTCAAAATATCAGAGTAACCTGATACAATATTCACGTCTCAGCATTACAATGGAATCTAAAAACTTCTGAGCCCAGTGCAAGTGTTAGGTAGAAGGAACTGAAGTCCCATAATCAGTTGTTACAGTAGAATCATCATCTACAGTAGAATTGATATCTGAATGTTTCCTCCCACCCAACATGGTACCCTCTGGAGAATGTTGGATTACAAGCCCTGTTACAGTCTCCAGCTATCACAACTCAACACATCTGAAGGACACCAGGTTGGGGAAGGCTGATAGAGTCTGATCTAAATAATCACTTCTTGGATGCTGCCTGTCTTGCTGTTGTGGGTGCAAAATGGCTGTTCACAGCCTGATACAAACAAATAGATAATTATGATGACAGTTTTGTTGATCCAAGTGAAAACTATCTCGAAACCCTGATGTCACCATTTCTCTTGGTACTTGGGCTTCCTATGACATTTCTGTTCAGATCTACAGCTGCTTCATTTCAGCAGTGGGGCAGCATTCAGTCCAGACTTTCCACCAGGTGCCAATGTTAAGCTGCCCTTACTGTGGTAATATATGAAATACAGTTTTACAAAATTTCTATTTTGTGATCATGATGCCATGAATATCTTGCAGCATTTCTCAACTGGGGGATTGCCAAGATACTGACAGCACCATCACAGCTGTTTCTGACCTAAAATCCTTGACTCCAGAACCAGCTACTGAAGCCCAGGAACCTGTTCAAGAAAACAGTAAACTTCCTGTGGAAAGCAAGAGGTACTGTGCATTTTGCCTGGCAAAACAACCCACATTGTGTATATTCTGTTGTGGATATAAGTACATTGTTGATCTGGTGTTGCAAACAGCATTTTAACTTGGAAGTGTTTTGTTTATTTAGTAGATTTTGTATACTGTCAAACTGGAAATGCATTCTGTTTTCATATATAAAACCTAGCAGCAACATAGTATAGTATCAAAACAATTCAATATAAAACATTGAAGATTTGACAGTAAAATGAATATTCAGAACAGGAGATTAAATGTCCACTTAAAGAGAAATATCTCCCTTAACCTGGCATCTAAATGGGCACAATAAGGAGCGCTGAAGGAGCGCTTACATCCTTATATGCCCAGCCGCCCCCTGAGATCGGCGGGAGAGGCCCTTCTCCGGGAGCCCTCCATGGAAGAAGTTAGGAGGGTGGTTACTCGGAGGAGGGCTTTCTCAGCGGTGGCGCCTAAGTTATGGAATGCGCTCCCCAGAGAGGTCCGCCTGGCGCCGTCGTTATTTGTTTTTCGGCGCCAGGCGAAGACCTTTTTATTTAAGCAGTATTTTAAATGTTAATATTATTGAATTTTATTTGGCCAGGGCGGCTTGTTTTATAGTGTATGTTTTATATTATATATTTGTATTTTATTGTATGTATTTTAAAATGTTATTTTATTTTTTTGTTGTAAGCCGCCCCGAGGCTTCGGCGAATGGGGCGGCATAAAAATGTTTTAATAAATAAATAAAATAAATAAATAACAATACAAGGCAGATCTCCCCGGGAAGGGCATTCCACAGATAGGGACCCATAACTAAGAAGGGACTTTTCCTGGTAGCTGCCTTTTGCACCATTGTGGATGGTGGCAACCCGAGAAGAGATCCAAAGAAGGTCTTTTAAGTCAAGCAGGGACATAGAGTAGAAGGCACCACTTCAGATATGCTGGTCCTAAGCCATTTAGGGCTTTAAAGGTCAGCACCAATATTTTGAATCAGCCCAGAAACTGGCTGGCAGTCAGAGCAGTTAAGACAGCACGGGAGTCAAATGTCAAGGTTACAAGTCCCATTAAGCAAACTTGTCGCTCTGTTCTGTGCTACCAGATGTTTCCAGGTAATCTTCAGAGATACCTTCATGCACAATGCATTATAATAATCCAAGCTAGAGGCTACTGGTGGATGACTATTTTAGTTTCTTGCGGGTCAAGAGCCTGTGCAAGGATGGATTCCTCCTCTCTAAAGATTGTATAAACTAGCACGAGTGCAATTCTAAGGCCTAAAGGATCTTAAAACAGAAGATTCTAACCCTGGAAATTTTGGCCTGTCCAAAGTGCTGCTGGGTACATACTGAGTGGGTAAAAAAGAATGGTGGAAATATTTTTTGCCTCTTCCTCCTTCAAAAGGGATAATCCCTCCTGTCCTCCTGATGTTGCTCTTCATGTCATTTAATGGCTGCATGACCTATGATTTTTCAGCCTCTATTAATAGAAAGGTCACATGATGGAACTGAGAATATTGAGCCAGCCATTCCCCAGAGGACATGTTTCCTTCCGCCCCACCAGTTCAAGCTGGCAGCTTATGACAACTGTCCCGTGCGTTACAAAAATCTACAAGAAATGCACACATCCATCATGCCTCAATTAGCAGAAATGGGAATCACACAAGAGATAAGTTGCCATTGCTTCCACTTCACTGAATAGCAGCAGGAGGTTAGATGTCTCAGAGCTGCATTAATGATATCAAATATCGAAACATGCATTAAAGGGAAGCCCTGAAATGCATTGTAGCAGACATAAAACATCAGTGTGCTTGGTGCTATGCTTGATGTTCTTTATTAGCCCGAAGAGTGCAACTGCATCATGGGGGCTCTGCTAGATTGATTGCGGATGTCATTTTCTGAAGGAAATTGATTGTATTCTCCAAGCACTTAGTGGTAATATTCAGTCCTCTATGTGTGTGCAGTTCTGGAGTCTCAGTGGTCAATAGGTCTGACTTTGTTTCTTCTTTGTCCAAAGCATGGGAACAAAAAGGGGAAAAGATTATGATGTTCTCGAGAGCAGTGACAGGATTAAACATTTAATCAGGTTTCTTGTAAGCTGCATAGCCATCTAGGCCTAAGGAGTGCACAATTTTTTTTTAGCCCCAAAGACTCCATATGCTGCTGGCTCAGTGCCTCAGTGCATGCTCATACATATGTGCAGGTGCATGTACAATTCAGTGGAACTGATACAGGATACCGTTCTTTCAGTGGTAGCAAAGTTTGGGAAGTGGCCTATGTATGACATGAACCTACTGGGACACCACCATTAACATCGGAGACACTCCTCCAAAGAAGGGGCTTTCTGGGTGGTGGAATCTGCACTACAAATGGAGATGATGAGATCATGGCTCTGGTTCACACAGTAATTCACCTGCCACCAACATTGTCATCTTCCCAGTATCAGGATAAGACTGCCTCCTTCTCCCAGGAATTTCATGGCATATGATGGGGCATTAGCCAGATTTTTTTTAAAGGTCCAATATCTTATTGCAAATGCTTTTTAGCTGTTTAAATTGTTGTTCAATTTTATGATGTTTGATGGGTTCACGCAAGTAAGACCTCAGCAAACAAGCCACCCAACAGATGTTCAGGCTCCCCATGGGTTTTTCTCTCACTCCCTGCTCCAGAATCCTCCAACTAATATCCCAGCCTCCTTCATGGTAGAATCTGTGTTGTGTCCTGCCCCCAACTCTGATCTCTGCCCCTTTTTGTTCCCCTTTTCTGAGCCTCAAAAACATTCCCTTTCATTTGTTTTAATCCCAGAAAATTGAACAGTTCTTCGTCGTGGCCTCTGTGCATCACACATATGAATGCTGCGCCTGCGCGGTGCCTAGGCCAGAAAGATTGAAAGCTAATGGTTTTTGGCGGGAAAACTCTGCTCCCCTCCCCCTCCATAGTATATATAGAGCGGCGTGTCTGCCATTTTGCTCAGTCTTTTGCGACTGCCGTTCACTGTGCCTCATGCCTGTTCGTCTCTTGCTCTGACTTCAGTATTTGCTATTTTATTCTTATTGTTCTTGTTGCTCTTCGTTACTATTACTCCAAGTTATTATTCCCTTGATATACCTTCTCCTTTTCTTCGTCTTTACTTAAAGCCCAAAAATGTTATCTTATCCCTCTTTACTACCCTGTGTTTCTTTTCTTCCACCCCCTGGGATAAGGAGGGGTGCAAAATTGCTACCTTGGCACACCGGGTCTACACAGCTGCGGGACTTGGCCTTCGTATGTCCAATTATGAAGCTACCTTGGCCAGGTATCAGCTTTTTATTATGCAAAGGCTGAACAACGTCGTTGCCTCCCTGCCAGAACAGCAATGGGATTTGGCTAGGACCTTCATCAAAGAGGGTATGCAGGTGGCCATCCAACAATTGTCCACAGCTCGCCACCACATGGATACGGATTCGAGAGCTCTAGTCGGGGCCATTTTGCTGTGAAGACATGCCTGGTTGAGGAATTGTAACTTCCCCGATGAGATGAAAAGGCGCATAGAAGAAATGCCCTTCGATGGCTCCAGTCTTTTTCACTCACGTATGGACCATAAACTCAAAGCCATCCATGAGTCCCGCATGATGGCAAGACGGATGGAACTGTCAGGACAACAAAAACGTAAGTGGGCTTGGTCCCATCCATCTTACCGGTACCAGCCTCCGCAGAGGCAATACCATCAGCGACAACAACACAGAAGGCAACAACCCCAGCAGCGTTTCCAACAGGGTCGTCGTCGCTTTGAAAATGAAAAACGTCACCGCTGATGGGACAGGCGAACCTCTCCTCCACCTCAATACCTACCTTTCCCTCTCCCTTTTGGGGAATGGCTGCAAGGCCGACTCGCCATTTGGGAGTCCATCACATCTGATCGGTGGGTCTTATCCATCATCCAGCTCGGATACAGAATAGAATTCGATACCGTCCCGCTGTCGAGCCTGATTTGCTTTACACCACGCTCCCTGGTATTAGCAGACAAAGTACATCAACTGCTTCGTAAGGGTGCGATTTGACGACTCTCCAGCTCTGAGGGGCTTCATGGATTCTATTCTAGATATTTTACGGTCCCTAAATGGGATGCTGGTCTTCGTCTGATCTTGGACCTCCGAAATGTCAACAAATTTATCAAACCAAAGAAATTTTGGATGACTACCCTTCAAAATATCCTTCCGCTGCTGAGGAAAGAGGATTGGTTCGCCTTACTGGATCTGAAAGACGCTTGCTTCCACATTTCGATCCATCCATGTCATAGCCGTCTTCTGCTTTACACCATAGGAACTGACATGTATGAATTCAATGTCCTCCCTTTCGGATTAGCTACTGCTCTGAGGGTCTTCATGAAATGTATGGCCCCAGTGTGTGCACACTTACGGCTCCAGGGCATCCAGGTGTATTCTTACCTGGATGACTGGCTGATAGTCTCACAGACCCGCGATGGTCTTTTGTTGGCTGTCAAGGTGACTTGCGCATTATTGGACGATTTAGGACTATGCATTGACCATGAAAAATGGTCCCTTGTTCCTACACAGGTGATAGACTTCATTGGAGCTTGTCTCGATTCCACGGTAGTGAGAGCTTTCCTCCCCCCAGCTCGTCACGACAGCCTTTGCACCTGTATTTCTTGGATTCTACAGGACAAAGTCGTCTCAGCGCTCTCAATTCACAGACTTTTGGGCCATATGGCTGCAACTGTTGCCATTGTCCCACACGCCAGGTTGCGGTTACGTCCTCTTCAACTCTGGTTCAACAAGAACTTCCGTCCGCAACGAGATTCCCCCGACAAACCATTCCGAATGCTCCTGGCGGTTCGGCAGACATTGACTTGGTGGACTATCCATACCAATTTAAATGTGGGTACCCCATTCCAGGCCCCCCCCAACTCTGACTCTGTATACCGATGCTTCGCTGATTGGATGGGGCGCGGTATGTGCGGGACTCCGGTCGCAGGGCACGTGGAACTGACAGAAGTCGTCGAGACACATCAACTACCTC